ATCTGAAAAGTAATGATATTGAATCCACTCCAAGCAAAGTAAAAGTGACATACTTCACCATATTAGCAAAGTAACGAACACATCAGATTTATTTCTTTCCATCTAAGGCTGTTGCCCACGCCTAATTCATCTTGTCATTTTAATACTTCCATGCTTAAGCTCATTACAAGCAAGAGTTAGATCTGCAATTTTATCTTTGTTTCCCTCTTCTCTGTTTTGTTTATTGTACTCACCATATATATAAATGCTAAACTAACACCCAACTCATGCCATAAGCAAAAGTAGATTCGGCTAATAATAATAAGCTAATACAAACTCGAAGACTTATTAGACTCGATTATGTGAAGCTATTTTAGAATAGCTCTCTCGGTTTTAAGGGCTCATGTCTAACCATAGCAAACCCCACATTTCATCCATCACAAACTCAAAACCCAAATTTGAAACTAAATCAACGAAAGACAAGGTAACCACAAGCAATGGAAGTGTTTAAGGTCTTTTAAAGTTCATTTTCCACTTTGTTCGGTTTAAAAATTCTGAAACTTGAACCGTAATTCTGAGTGTTTTCTTGTGGTTCTAAGTCCCACACCACAGTTCTAAATGAAATTTTCACGACCATAAATCAAGTATCAAATCGACTAAATCAAAACTCCAAATCATCAACACTAAATTTAAATCAAACCATAGTTGAGATCAGTAGCCATTCTATTCTTGTTCTCAAACCTGCAAAAAACGGAAGTTAATTTAGAGTCGACCAAGCAAACGAGATAATCCAAAAATGAAAATAACTCATCAGGTCTGGTCTGCCTCCTCCACATCAGCCGCCGGCGACATCGCCAGTGTTCGCCGGCGGTGACCTCACTTTCTCCTCTGCTCGCCCTTCCCTTTCTATTTTCCTCGCAGAAAAAGAGAAGAGAAAAATAGAAACCCAAAAAATACAATCAGAAATCGTAACAACCAAATCAAACCCTCAAACCCGACATGCAAGCCCCAAATCTCCACCTACCATCGATGTGGAGGTTGCCGCAGCTCCTCTGCCGCATTTTTCTCTGGGTTTCCCCTAATTCCCAGAAATATGAAAAACAAACAGAACCCAAATGATCAAATTGAACCCCAAACTCTAGTTGCAAGCCAGAAAGTCATCTCTCACCTCGTCGCCGTCTTCATTAGCGCCAACTGTCGTCACTCTCAACTTCGCTACCGCCTTCTGCTCCTTTTTCTTCTTTCTCCTCGTCGATACCAGAAAGGGAAGAGAGGTCAGAACCCCCAAAGTTCCATAAAACCCAAAAATCGAAACATGCAAGCCTCAAATCTTGACTTACCGTCGATTTGAGGGTTGTGCGGAGCATCATCGTTGTTTTTTTTGCTTCTTTTTCTGGACCCTGCTCGGTTTCCAGAAAGAACACGAGGGAGGAGACGAGAGGTAGAGACATTTTCTTTCCTTTCTTCGCTTTTTTTCCCTTGGCAGAAGATCGAGAGAAGAGATGAAGGAGATCGGATGTATTTCCTCTACTTTCGTCGTTTTTGTTTTTTGGGTTTCAGGTAGAGACGAGAGAAGACAAGTTGGAAGTGAGGATTGGGGCGGCTAGGGTTAGGTTTCTGTAAAAAAAACGGGTTCACTACCTGGGCTCTTGAATTGACCAAAATGCTCCTCTAATTTCGATTAAATTACCTGATGCCACCTTCCTTCTGTTGAAAAATGAGAATAAAAAATGTGACCTTACTGAGTTTCGAACTTTTGACCTATCAGTCAAAATATTCACCAAGCCACTCATATAACCAATAGTCTGAACGCCTACCAATTGCTTCAAGAATAAACTCTTTTATTTTTAATCTCAAACTACCTTAATACGTAAATCGAATCGAATGTTATACGATCCTCCGCTAGGTTAATACCAAGAACCTATCTCAACTCCCATTGGAATTATCAAATTTTGAAAGTCATCTTTGCTCGTTTACATATTTTCCCCTAAGAGTCTTTAATACGAAACTAGGGTCAATAGACCGTGGTTTCTTTAGTCAAACTCTTTAACAATTGTCAATAAATCGGTTGTTAAAGCAAAAATATCAAAACTCTTTTCCAAAAGTACTCAATATCAAACATTAACACAATCAATAGAATGTGCTAAATTTCATATTTCAAAACGTTTCAATTTTAAACGAACTACGTGGACTTTGATCCCGACTACTCGGGTACGTAGGCAACCAATAGGTTCGAGTCCAACTAATTTAAAAACTTTTTCTTTACGTTCGAGATTTACGTCAATAGATGTATGATCGAATTGTAATACTAAACACCTAATTAACTTAATCATAAAATTAAATACATCAATAAAGCCGCAAATAATGAAACACCCAACCTTTAAAAAAACTTATCGATTTAAGTAGTACCCATTTGGGGCGTTGTGGGGTGTGAATACACTTCCCCACACGTAACCGTACTCCTGAACCCAAATCTCAAAAATTCGCAGACCAAATCCCGGTTTCGACTCCATGGTCAAGACCGGTCCAATTAGTGTTCGACCCACTACGAATAAGGTCGATGGCGACTCCGAGCGGTTCGCGACGGGTATCCCGATCTCGAGGGGCGGTTGCGACAAGGAGGAGAGTAGATTCATGGGGGAGGTGACCCGGTGAGTAGAATGGGATGCTTTGGCTAGGCTGCAATGGGTGCATGATTAGTGGATCAAATCACAGTTAGGTCGTTTAAACCAAAAAAATGTTTTTACTTTCGTGCTCAACAGACTGGCCGCACTAACGCCTTCTAAATTTACCCCTACAAAAATTGCTTTGGGTGCATTAAATTTGAAATGGGATCCCTCATTTGACCTTTATATTATGTGTAGATTGTGAGACTGATGAGTCTACATGTAGACATGTCATTGTCCTACAAATTCATTAACATGCCAAAATATAGTGAAATGCCACCATATTAACTCAATCTCAAATAATGATCGTTGGATTCAATCATGCCAGATTAGGAAGATGCTTAAGATGTAGTGGTCAACCAGCCTAAAACGTTAAATAAACCAGTCCCATATAGTTTGCACAAAGATATGATTGTTTCTTAGTAGTTCTGAATACTAATACTAATTTAAGAAGTCGACATCGCTTCTACATATTTAATATTGCAATTCGATATGCAATATTCGAACCAGTGATATTTGGTCATAATTGGGATTTCATTGTTTTCTGGTGGGGTGGGGTTGTGGATGCTGTTGTTGCTTACAAGTAGGTGCATGTGCATTCGAGTTCTGCGACCAAGACGTAGTGCATAATAGAATGACTCGTGAAAGCATCAAAGTGGTGGAGATTGTTGGATTCAGAGGCTATGAAATGGAATGCCAGCTCGTTGAGTATATTATGGAGCATTTAGTGTGGCTAAAGAGAATAGTGATCGATTGAGAAATTGAAACTCCCTTTTTCTATCAAGAATGGATTTTCCCATAATGCAGAAAAGCTTGCATTGTAATTTAACTATATAGCTTACGCTCTTTGTTTGGGAGGGTTTGTATGTGTTGTGCACAGGTCTGCAAGAACTCTTCTGATAAACCCTTTTACCAAACCACGAGGGTTTTCTCTACTAAACTTTAGATATCTAAGATCCTCTTACTCAAAAAAAAAAAAACCTTTATCTAAGATCATTTATGGTCTTTACTCTTGAGTGAGAAAGTAACATTTATGGTCCGTTTTAACAAAATATATTGTTAAGCTAAAAAAAGGTATTTTGGAATACCTTTTTTCAGTATATATGATTTCTTGTGTTGGTAACATTTATGGTTTGCTTTAACAAAATATGTTGTTAAGTTACTATATATTTTCTTGTGTTTCTGGCCTCCTGCAGCGGATGGCAATAGAGAGGAAAGAGAAAACGGTACCACATGATCAAACTCGGGACCAAGGCTATGCTAACAAGTAACGTAACCAAAGCCACCATCGATCATTCAGTGGCCACTATCAACAAACTTTCTTCTTTGAGGACTGCCATACTCTTGGTCAGTGAATTCTCAAATTCTTTTGCATTTTTATCGTTGTTGCGTTGTTTTAACCTGTAAAAAATATTAAACAATTTAGTTGACTCGTAAATTTCACGAGAAACAGAAACATACGGACTAATGTTGCTCGATATTTGCGGGACCAACAGTCTACCACATTACCTCCTAAGATGACATTTTCAGGGGCATCAAGAATTTTCTATACATGTTGATTCACTACATTCTTTCCGTATGACTTGTAACAGAAGGTAACATTGCAGCCATTGGCAATATGAGGAAGCGAGACATGCAATCTGGACATATTTGCCTCTATCTTCTTTCAATGCTACTTTGCTCAAGGGAGCGTGGAGTAATACAAATTTACAGAACCTCACAACAGATGCATATAAAACAGAGGCTGGAAACAAAGAACCAATCAGGCAATCATCTCAAACAGATATCCAGTGGATTATCCTAGAAGTCCAATCATCAATCATCCTCATTACTTAGACCGGACAAATGTTTTCAACCTCAACAACAAAATGCCCTCAAAATTCGCTCTACAGTTTTGGGGCTTTGGGACTTGTACAAAGAGCCTCACAATGCGTGTAAACAGTGAACAAACTAGAGGGCCTTTACAGTTCAGCAGGTGTGTTAAGAAACAACAAACTAGAAAAGCACTTGACCTCGGAAGGGAAGCATCATCTATAGCAATGGTTATGTCCGCAGTGTGCACCGTCCTCGAAGCATTTACAACTCTAGCATTAGAAACAATTCAGACGACGAGCTAGAATTAACACCGTACTAGTCTCTCCTCAGAACTATCCTTCAATGCCGTGGTATTTCTTTACAGTCAGTTTGTATACAACCATTTACTCCACAAAACTGCTTCAAAGTAACTGCGGAGAGACCATAGATCAGTAAATAACTTCCCGCCAAAGCAAGGCAAGGCAAAATCATTCATTTTCTGGTCACCTGGTCATGCAGATATATATATTAATTAGCCAAAAAGGTAAAACGAACTTTTACCTAGATTTCTTGGAGAAGTTTTTCCAGTTCAATGGTTATCTCGAAGAAGGAAGGCCGCTTGCCAGGATCTGTTTCCCAACATCTCTGCATTATGTCTAACAGCTTTGGATGAATATTCTGCGGAAGATCTGGGCGCAGCCCCTGAAACAAAGTTATAAACACAGAAGAATGGTCATTGGCTCCTTAAAGAAACTTCTCTCGCCAGTGAACATCTCTACAAATTTGTCGACTGGTGAAATTTCAGAACTGAGAAATAATCCGCTATACTCTACTAAGATCCAAGTCACTTGCAATGTGAAGGGGGAAATGAAAAGGGAAGAACAAAACAAACAAATAGAACAAGAAAGAAAAGAAAAAAGGCAATGTTCACCTGTATGACTCCCAGGGCAGCTTGCAATGGTGTCATGGAGTCGTAAGGCACCTATTGTTGCATAATTATTCAACATGATGAGACGTTCTTTTTTATAATGACATGATGATATGATCTTAAAATTGAAAATAATAGAAAAACCAAAACACAACAGATGAGTGCACATAAAATGGCTAACCTTAGAAGTGAGCAATTCCCACAGCACAATAGCAAAACTGAAGACGTCAGCTTTCTGATCATATGGTTGGTGGTTTATGACCTGCTCACAAATAAAATTTTACAGCATTACACTTGATGTACTAGCAATGTTAACGTGAAGTTGGGATGTAGACAAAGAATAGGGTCTTCTAGGGGATAGTCAAATTGGATAACTCGACAAAAAGAGTCAAAAGGATACTGATATGTACTAGTTCAGATAACAAAAGAGGTGAGTTCTCATACCTCAAGGGCCATCCATCTGTATGTACCGGTCTCTGCTGTCATTACTCCCCCTTGATTCTGGAACCGGGCAACTCCAAAATCTGCCACCTTAACAACCTTGAGAGCAAATGACAGGTGTTCAATTTATCTAAGGATGTGGAACCACTATCACAATCTCCAGCTTAATAACAAACACATTGATGCAACAAGCACAACCAAGTCAACACGATTTCCATAACAAGTACACTATATTCAAGCTCTGCATTAAATCCGGGCAGGATATAATGATCATGGAAGAAGAAGGAAACAGACAAGCAAACAGGGCTTGGTCTGGTAGGCAACAGGACATCAGCATGGGAAGAGGTCACATTGAAGGCAAGAAAATAGTATATGATGCTAAAAGAGCTATCAATGAAGGAAATTGATAGAAAACGAAGACAACGCTGCTGAAGAAACACACAATGACGTAACATGCCATTGCAATAAATTTCCAAGCACGGCCTACAGTAAATGGGCACGAAATTATAACCCACATGCCCTTAGAATTTCATGGCAAAATTCCAACTAAAACATTCGCTGCTACAGAATGGTGGGCTTACGGTCGCAGTGTCTTTGGTGAAGTTACCATGTGTAAGTCTAGGGTGCTTTCATGTAGTTGTATGACACAGGCAAGCAACTTGTAAACCCCAAGTAAATGAATTAGAAATCAGGAATCTTACATTGTCTGTGTCCATCAACAAATTAGCCGTCTTCAGATCCCTGTGAATTATATTGTTTTGGTGCAAATATTCCATGCCTTTGCTAACATCTATTGCGAATTTGAGCAGTTGAGGAAGCTTCAGCGTCTTGTGGTTCTCGTGCAAGTAATCATACAGACTTCCTCCAGGCATGTACTCTGTGGGCAGTAGGGAAACCAACTATCAGTTCAGGTAACGAAACTACAACATAGAATGCATGACCATACTTGACTACAAATGTTAGGTGACAACAAAATTCAAAAAATACAGCAGAAAAGCATTAACTATCGCAAGAAAAAAATATTTGACAAGAGTAATTCTTTGCACAATATCACAAGAAGAAAAAGAAGGATCAACAGGAACATGAGATGGGAATTGATAATAAGGAAATTCTTGCTGACCATATTGCAAGGTAAGCAATATAGGGTCAGTAAGCATAAATCAGGGATCAGAAGTTATTACCTGTTACAATGCACAAGTGTGGGGATCTGGTAGATGCACCAACAAAACGAACAACATTGGTATGTTGGACCTCTCTAAAATTAAAAGAAAGAACAAAGCATCAATAAGGAGAATAGAAAGAAAGGCATTAGTATGGAGGGTTATTAAACATCATTCTTGACATAAACAACACAGATGAAATTCAGAATAGTTTTTTCAACACTGTTCTTTGGGTTCAGCTGCACCGTCTCTTTTCTTCTTGTTTGCCCTTTCTTGATGTTCATGGTAAGGAGGGACACATACAAAACCTCAACAAATGACAGAACATTACTATTTAAACCGTGCACCTCGGCCGTTTAGACTTCAGACCTTAAATTGCCTAACTTGAGTTGATGAACAAAATGCCAAATGAATTATAACTATGAAGCATACTTATTGACGGCATTTGTAATTGTAAGGTGAAACAAACAAAGGAACTGGATTTTCCATTAACCCCATCCAAGAAATGAAAGAGAGAAAACTCCTAAACTTCATATCAAGCAACCTCCTTGGCTAAGGTGGAGCCCTAAATCACAAACTATACCTTAAGATTGACACTTCTTGAAAGAATTCTTCTTCTTGTGAAGCAGTTAAATGCTCAGCTCTAAGAATTTTGATAGCAACATCTTGGCCAAGGTAGACTCCACGAAACCTAAAGATGGATGGAAGATGATGAGAAAGTGTCAAAGGCAGTGATAAATCAGGCCTGATTGTGGTACAACCACTGAAAATAAGAACTCACAAATCTCCACATGATCCTGAAGCAATTCTTTCTCCTATCTTCAGCAACCTTCTATTTATTTCCCAATCTCCATGTTTTGCATCTTCTGATGAATCTTTGCCTACAACTGAGAGACCATGTGAAGAACCAGACTACGAACCCTGCATGTAAAAGAGTTTTTTAATTTAAAAAAAAAACAGAATTTCCAAACTATGGATGTTAGCCCCTTCAGCAAGGGAGATAGGGTTACACAATGTCTAAACCCTGAGCTACAGAAAAGGTCGGGTAAATTCAAAGTTTATAATATCCCCCAAAAAAACATGGTGAAGCTATTTATCCACAATAACATAGTAGTATTGTAAAAAAAAACATAGTAACATAGTAGCTGATTACCAAGGACCACTCAATGACACTGGACATTGACGAAACTCTACCACGAAACCTTGTCAACATGATGCAATATCAGTTCCATTGAGAAGAATTTTAACTTATTTCACCGACTATGTAAATAAAGAGCATGTTTAGCACCACAAGTCAAAGAGAAAGACACATGAGAGACCCCTTGTAGCTGATAGGTACGGCTTGATAAAGCAACTGCAACTCCGAACTCATTAGTTTACTGTTTCAGCATTTCTCTCATCCAGATATCCACATTGCTATGACACTCTATCAACTGAAGACTGTGAGAAACACGTAAAACCATGAAGAAAGGAAGTAAAAGCACAAAATCAGAGACTGCTACATACAGAGAGAGAGAGAGAGAGAGAGAGAGAGAGAGAGAGAGAGAGACAAACAGACAGACATACAGAGAGTTTACCTCACTTCTAGCAATTGCTTCTCCCAATGCCTCAGTCAAACCATCTGTATCCTGACCACACCATTGCAAAGTCAGCAACATTTGGACTCAGCAGAGATCCCTAACATAGAGATTTAATCACAATGTCCCTCAAAAATAGACCATTAGATAGATATAAAAATGGAAAAGGGAGAAGTTGATTTTCAGGTTCACGTGATACTAAGTCAAAAGGCCGCCTTTATTTCATTAGACGGAGCATATATATACTTGTTCATAGAGAAATTTTTGAAGGAGAACTACAAAGAATCTTATGATCAAATTCATCAATCTGTCTTCAAGGAATTGGTGCATGTCAAAGAATAATCATAATCCACAATGAAGTGACAGGTACCTCAACTGGCCATCCATCAACCACAAATACATCCAAAGAATAGCCATCAGTGGTGGAGAATACATGTGCCTCACGGATGTTAAGTCCTATATCAGAAAGCAGAGCGGAGAGCTACAAGAAAAGATGTCATCAACGTGAATGTCGCAGGCCAGTCTCAGTATTCCATACAAATTGAGAGTTTACACATAAAAAATGTCGAAAGACTGTCATACCTGACTAAGAAGTTTTGGCTTGTCAATTGTAGAAAAAATTACTTCATGTACTGGAGCCTGAACATTTTCGTGCCTGCAATTGAGAACAGGAACTTTCACCAAATATGCATCTATTCAACATAATCAATCTGAATCGAATTTTGTCTTTCCTAATTTCCCCAGCCAGAATAAAGTAAATTTAGAACAAGGGGCTGACTAAGCAAGAAATTCTGGATCTCCTAATTATACCTTACATTTTGGTCAGCACTACCTAAATCTTAAAGTACCTTTATCATCTAAAACTACAATTAAACAGTAAAGCTAATTTACAGGATAATCACAAATAGTTACAACTCAATCATCTAAAAACAATATGACGTTGTGATTGAGGAGTACCTTCTTGAAAGGCTATCAGACTGATATCTCTCCTCCATGTCCTTGGAAGTCTTCTCCAAATTCAGATCCCCGAGCTTCGAGCAAGGTTCAAAATCAACTCCATCCCTGACTCTAATGAGGGTGACCACATAAACAAAGACAATTGCATTCAAGAATTAAGATACCATACACTTAAGAATTAAGATACCTCTTGTGCAATGGAGCACCGTCTTCATCTTCAGCACTTGATGCTAGCCTTGATGTAAGTGATCCTGGATGTTCCTCATTGTTCCCATTTACAGCAGTACCAAGGTTCTATAGAACAATTCATGAGAAAAATATTAGTAGCTGACAAATAAATCATCTAATTAATCTCTCAAAGAGGACATTGCTTCTACTTTGGAGTTTATAAAGTGAAGGCATTTGAATGGAGCCCTCATGACGTTCACAGATGCACCCTTTCTCAGTTTCAAAAACAAATCACATAACTTAGAATCCGTATCTTCTTGGAGTCGGTGATGCAATTAACATATATGAAAGTAGAAACAGAAACTATATTGATACATGGCACAAAGGTTTGACGGTTAGTTGAAACAGTTTGCCATCTCACAGCTGTCAGCTAACAAATATATAAACTTAGAAGTCAGAACTGGCATATATTAAGCTAACAACCATTAACTTGGGATGTAGTGTTAGTCAGAATACTCCTATCACTGAAATATCTCTGTTCCACGTCTAACTTTTCTATCAAGTACTAAACTCTTATACAATGACTTCCACATGTACAATTGTGTCATCTCAAGTGCTCTCCCAAATGATCGTTCCATAGTGTTTGGCTTGTCACAACATGATTCATTCTTCATTTCCAAACACGCGAGAGAAGGAGGTTCACATAGCAATAAAAGCAATTAAATGGATGGCCACCATAAGGAATCATACCTCCATCAAACGGGCATGGTAAACAGGGCACTCCGCTGGATCCTTTGCCTTGTCTAGAAGTGTTTGGTGCAATATCATATCCTCTACTCTATCCATGTTAAAATCAAGGCCATAACTGAGATTGCACAAAAAAAAAAAACACATAAGAAGGCACATTCAGATATCAAAGCACCCCCTATGAAGAAAATTGCATTCTCCTACCATCGCATCCAAGCCAAAAGGCAAGATCCAACTCGTTTAGGAAAATGATAAACAAAAGGATACTACATTTCTGAAAAGGTCTGAGAATTTCTGCTCGTAATCTTTACATAGACAAAGTATAATTTCCTTTTGCAGTACCACTCAGAAAGTTACAAAGCCAAGGCAACAATTCACTTTCTATTTGTATTCAGTCGTACCTAAAAGCTACATCCAAAAGGTCAAGCACATAATACATCCCTCAAAGAGTGCATTGCTTCTAAGTCGGGAGTCATAAATATTCTTGCCGCCATAGCAGCCAAAAAATTGTTGCAAATCGTGCAGCAAAACACTACCGATCGAACGGAGAAGCAAAGCCTACCGCCCTCTGTAGAGACTGATTTCAGAAGTAACAGAAAGATCATCACCACAAACACAAACTAGCAAGCAGCAAACCACTCAACTCCCGTAACAAACACGTGGCGACGGATTCTAGCTACCAGGGATCATCCACCAAATAGACATCTAAACCAGAAATGAAAAAGAGAGCAGGGAAGGGAAGAGAACGTTGCCGCCATGATCGCAAACAAAAATAGTTACCAAGCAGGGAGGCGATTGAAATGAGCATCGAGGCGAAGGCGGAAGAGGTCGGGGTCAGAGACGGCCTCGTCGTAGCCATTCTCAATCAAGCGATTGAAGACGTCGTTCCTGACATCATAGTTGCCGAAACTCCCAAAGCTCCTCGGCGGCGAACAGCTCTCCCCGACGCCTTCCGTCAAATCCATTTCCGAAGAAAGAAAGAAAGAAAGAAAGAAAGAAAGAAAGAAAGAAAGAAAGAAAGAAAGAAAGAAAGAAAGAAGCTGAGAGAAACGGAAAACCTCCTCTTGACTTGACTTCACGGGGACGGCATTCTGACAGCCGCTGCCGCCATGGGAAGAAGGAAGGTAGTGAGAGTATACAGTGAAGGAAAGCGGGGAGAGTATCTTTGACTGTAGCGATGGAATCTGTTAGCGAGGGGGGCAAAGGAATTTGGGAGGGGAGGAAGGGTAGTTTCATCTGATTTATGGAAGGGGAATCGTCATTTGTCAGTGAGAGAAGGTCTCTTCTGCCTGGAAGCAAGCAGACGAAGTCTGTCCTTTCGGTCTTTCTTTTTCTTCCCTCCCTAGTCCCTCCTCTTTGCCTTTTTTAATAAACCAATAAACCAATATATAAATGGAAAAAAAGGGAAAGAAATTATAATAAAGTATCACGAAGTGGATAGGATTTGGTCATATTTTTTCTGTTTTCTTCTTTTCTTTTCCCTCCTCTGCTGCACCGACTTAATTACTTAATTTTTAGGGGGGAAATTATAATAAGGTCCCTACATCTTTAGGCATCCACCTTTCCTACCACTAAACTTTTGGCCAACTGTAATCGGTTTTTTTTTTTTTAATAATTGTAATCGGTTACATGGTGGGTAAATTACACAGAATGTTATTGATAGTAACATTTTGTTTCCCATTCTATATTTGGGAAGAAAGTAATTTTATGGACGATGAGGTCGAGGGTATGAGTACTATTAGAGTGTCGTGATTTCAGACATGTAAAACAAATGGATGTACAAGACTCTAAATAAATATTATTATTCAATTTGAGTTCCTGTCATCCATGATCTTATTGGACTCGTTTGGATGAAATATTTCCATATAAGAGGTTTGTGAGATATTTGGACCCAAATTTCTCAATTAAAAACCTAAAAAATTAAAATGCGAGATTTAGACGAAATAACTTGTTTATCTAATGCCATCGTTTACATTGATAAATAGTAAATAACAATTTTGCCCTTGCTCCTTTGTCATCGTCATCTCCACCCCAATTGAAACTAGCACCGCCTTGCCAATCCAAAGAGTTATGATTCTAGCAGACATCTTGAGAGCCTCCATCTCCTAAGGTAAATCCTGAACGTAGTAGCCTCAATTTCCAATGTCAACTCTATTCCTTATCCCTCCCCGTCCAGACTCCAGACCCTCTCGTCTCTTTCCAGGATGTAGGGAAACGAAGGGTGTGAAGGGAATGAGATGGGATGAAGACAACAATTAATTTGAAATCTGGGGAATTCACTAGCATTAAATAATAGCTTTATAGTATGTAGAAAAGCTGAAAGGGAAGAAGAGAATGGTGAAGTTTCCTCAGCTAGGCTCAACTGGGATTTCTAATATTTATATCTTAGCCCAATACAACCGACAATCCAGTTTCACTGTTTATCATGACAAGTGGCAAACTTACATTGGTTGTTAAAACAATAACCACGACAACTTTATTCTACTAACGGTAACTTAAAGATACGATGACGTCTTAGCGGGAATTAGGCTAAGTCATGAAAAGTTTCACATACAACGAATCATCTTCAAAGCCAATTCCCGGTTTAAACATCAGTTGATGAAGCTTGATCATGTTGTTGCATTCTAAAGTTGCCTCTACCTCTCTGTACTTCGTGTTCCTGAGCATTCCAATAGAGGACTCCATCATACTTCAACACGCCCCCCGCAAGTTGTCTCGTATATGTCAATTACACTCAACTTGCCTAGCATATATGTAACAGGATAATGAGTTAACGCTTCTGTAAACAAGTCTGCAACTTGTTCTTCACTTTGAATGTAATTCAGTTTAATCAATTCAGACTTCACCCTCCCTCTTGTAACATGAACATCAATTTTGATATGTTTACTTAGCTCATGATAAACTGGATTTTATGTTATTTGAACTTCATACATATTATCACAGAACACATGTAATGGAGAGGGTAACTTGGCATCTAATTCCTTACGTGAACTTTGAAGCCATTGTTTTCACATACCAGATTAAGAAGAGTCATGTATTCTGTCTCTGAGAATGACCTAGAAACTGTTGTTTGCTTCCTTTCCTCCAAGTAACCAGAGATCCTCCCAAAAAAGTGTAGTAACCATAAATGCATCTCCTAGTTCCATAACATGATGCCCCATCAGCATCACTATAAGTCTTTAGTGTGAGATTAGTCTTAGACTTAAAGTGCAAAACTTTGTCCTGGAGCTCCCTTCAAATACCTTAGATCCCTAAAAGATGCTTGCAGATGAGTATCGCTTGGTTGAACATGATAGTAACATAGTCAATGTATATCATAAGCTATGTCAAATCTTGTGACTGTCAAGTAGTTAAGCCTCTTAATCAGTCGCTTGTAACATTGAGGATCATCAAGGAGTTTACCTTCTCTTGCACTGAGCTTGACTTTGCAATCAATAAGACTCAATAGCTCTTTGCATCTAAGTAACCTATATCAAATAAAAAAACCGTACAATACTTCCTCTGACAAACAACAATATTAGTCTCATTTCTACTGATCTCAAGGCCTGAGAAGTATTTGAGTTCTTCCACATCCTTGATCTTGAAATTTATTTTCAAGAGTGTCTTATTGCTTCCAGATCTCCTAACCTTGTCATTACAGTATTATATCATCGACATAAACTAGTACAACAATAATTTTACCTTGGACCCACCTGATAAACATAAAAGGGTCTAAAATTTGGATTGTGAAAATTCGTTCTTCAACAATGTGGTAGTAAGTTTGGCAAACCATTGCTCGAGGTCTTGCTTCAATCCATATGAAGATTTCTTTAACTTACAAGCTAGTCCATTGGTGTTTCCCTCAATAGGATAGCGTGGTGGAAGTTGCATGTATACTTCTTTTAGTTTTCCATGCAAAAAATCATTGGAAACATCTAACTGATGTAGAATTAGTCCTTTGAAGCAGTAACTACCAATAGGGTCTTGACTGAATTGTTCTTGGCTATAGGTGAAAATGTATCCCGAAAATCTAATCCATAAATTTGTGTACACCCCTTTTCCACAAGCCTTGTTTTGTGTCTTTCAATACTACCATCAGGTTTCAACTTCACTTTGAATACCCATTCATATCCAATAGTCCTTTTTCGTGGTGGTAGAATGACAATATCCCAAGTTTAATATCAAGTAAAGCCTGCAACTCTTCATTCATTGCTCTAACCCAACAGTCATCTTTACTAGCCTCTTTATAGCATCAAGGTTCAATTTCATTAATGATGCTCATTTAGCATATTCCCTTTCTTCATATAACAATCCTTTAGTCTAGTAGGCAGATTTATTGCTCTAAGTGGTCTTGTCCTTAACTGTGGTTCTTCTTCATGTTCTTCCAAAGGTACTATCTTAGGACCTTCAACATCTTTTTCTTCTTCTAGATCATTACCATACATTTCATTCGTGTCATCACATTGTATACTCGTGTTGGAGGATGGATCAATTATCTATCAAATATTCAAATCGACTGGAAGATTTAGCTTGTAAGAATCGTTATTGGTTTGATGCCAATAATCATATATGGACTATATGATGCACACATTTAGTATAAGATTTAGACTAACTTGAAGAAGGATGACTACTAACATGTGGAGAACTATCTAAAAAGCTTGACTCGGGACTAGGATGAGCAAGAACAGACAATGAGTAGAAAATATATATAAAATTTAAGTGAAAGGTACTGACTTGGCGATGATGTAGCGCGTTGACCGTTAGTCAACGCGTTTGACCATCCAAGATAACGGTCAATTTTCGGGTTTAGCCAATTTTTGTTAATTTGATGTATAGTTTAGACCATGATGTTATATATCGAAAAAACTGGCCAAGATATTTATCATGTGAAAGTTCAGTCCATACAAAATAAATTAACCCAATGGATTATGTGTTTCCAATTAGATGACATTTTCGTGTAGTGTTAGGAGTCACACAGCCCATCTCATGGCCCACACATCTTGTACTCGGACCCGAGAGGTTAGTTGGATCAATAGTCCCCTATCTTTTTAATCCTTTAGTTGTATTGTATTTTTCTGCCCATTAATGAAATGATACAAGTTTTAGTAAAAAAAATGTTTCCCTCAACGAACACAAATCATTCTCTCGCTTTGGGTCTGGGTTCCTGTGCTTAACCTCAAAAGTTTAAACATATTGTTTAAGTCATTCGATTGGTAGATAGTGGATTAGGTAGTTAATAAGGGGTTATCATTGTTGATGTAATGTAAATTTTTATTAACGTAATAAAATATTTAAGGTTATAATCATTATAGCCAAGCATTATCAAATTTTTAGTGAATTATTAATAAAATATAGTTACATTATCTGTGTTTAATATATCATGATATCATATGTTGTTTGTTAATGTATTATGATATCATGTACTTGTTACAACTTACAATTTCACTTTCACATTAAAAACGTTAAGCAACTCCCACCAAAATGTTGTTAAAGTATATCATAACTAATAGTATGAAAATCATTGAAAATTGACCTAAAACATTTATAATTTTCAATTTCAATGAAATTTTTGGAATGAGAACGTCACGTTTACGCCAAAAACATTAAGCAACTCTCATCAAAACATTAACAACGTGAAAGTATATCATTACTAATAGTTTCAAAACGTTTAACAATTAACCTAAAATATTTGCAATTTTCTCATGTAGTGTTAATAGAGAACACTGCCGTCGTTTGATGTATCATTATATCAGTTGTTGTTTGTTTGCCGAAACGAGTGAGACGTCTTTAAGAGTCCATTACTAATAGTATCAATAATGATAATGTTGTGAATCAATGATATTGTGAATCATTAGTAAAGATGTTATAATCAATGATTCATTCATAAACGTTGATGATGAAAATGTACAACGGTAACGATTGATTCAAAATTGTTAATAATATAATTGTAAAGAATTGATACTTATAATGAAATCATTAATAATGA